TAAAATACTATATAAAAAAAGAATCAACTTACATTGAAGAAAGAGAAGAAACTAACCATTACCTATTTTGATCAATTCGAAATCCTCAACTTGTTGAAGAACGTACAAGAGTTGGCAATGCCGGCAGCGAAAACACGATGAATTGATGGAGAGATTTGAGAGAGGAGGGAGAAGGTAGGAGGCGGGGGTTTAGGGAAACTGAGAGGGGAAAAAAACCTAACTTTCTCCTTCTCTAATATGGTCATGGGTCGGGTATAAATATAATCCACTACATCCGAAACCCAAAACATAAATTTTTAATGGGCTAGGCTGGAGCTTATTCTATTTTATTTTAATTTGGGCTTGTTTATTTCATTCCACTAATATAGGAAAGTTTTTTCAATGTCAAAAAACGCATTTTTCATATTTGCAGACACTTCTTGAAAACCTTAATTATTTGCTTCGTTTCACATAGAAATGGATGGTGGAATCATGTTTTACACCAATTCAACACACTTCGTTTCAAATAAGGTCAAAAACACAATTGGTCTGCTGTGTTCCTATGATCTTATGCCAAGGGAACAATTAGTTTGACAGAATTACCAAAACTCAATATCAAATAGTCAAGAGGTGAATGATGGGAGGACCCAAATTAAAGCAATAAAGTTTCACATTATTGTCACACTAGCAGTAGAAAAGATTGGTCACATATATTAAAATATACAAATCTTTCCCTTGTTGGCTTATACAAATAAAGAACACAACCCTCCTCTCATAGCCAAAGGTCAAAAACTATTTTTTTCACACTTGCAGAGAAATCAAAATGAGATGATTTCTTCAAAGATACATAATACTCACTATAAAATCCAACACATAGGCTATTTCCCCAAATCAATGAATTTGTTGTTTATAACTAAGAATTTGTTCATGAATCACACAAGAACACTCTATCAATCAATAATTAGCAGTAAAATATTAATTACCAATTACTTTTAGGCTGCGTTTGGGAACTTTGATTTGGATTTGGGAAGTTGATTTAAAATCAAGGGATTTTAAATTTAGGATTTAAAATCCATGATTTAAGAAATCTTTTGTTTGGATATCTTTATTAAATGAAAGGATTTGAAATCTTTGATTTCAAAATCTAGTGTTTGGGTACTTTATTATACATGAATTTGAATTTAAAATTGATGAAAATTTATTCTCTTATCTAGTGTTTGGGTACTTTATTATACATGAATTTGAATTTAAAATTGATGAAAATTTATTCTCTTAACTTATCTTGTTTACATCAAATGCAATGGAGATGTGTAAAATAGTAACCAAAAAACACAAATTGAGGTAATTTTGGCGATGATAGCTACATTTGCTAAGTTTTCAAATTCATTGCCCACCATAACTTGCAAGAGTTTCAACAAAATAAAAATGAAGAAAACTCTACAAACATATCAAGTATCTTTCAATTTTTCCGTTAACGTACTTGGTCATCACTTTGATATACTCTCCACTAGTATCTTTCATAAAGACATCCAATAAAAGAACAACTGTACCAAACCACAAACCATCAGATGCCAATATATTGGAGTATACTATAAGCCACAGTCATTCACCATAGAAGCAAACACCACAACAAGTGACAATGAGAAACAAAAAAGGTAAGACCAAAGCACAACCACCTTCAGTACAATATATCAGCTCACCAATGCAAACACCAAAAGTAAGAAACTTCACAGGAACCATTTGTCCTCATGAAACTTCACAGGAATCATTTGTCAATATACAAAAACAATTCCTTCTACTTCTGGCAATAAGCTCAGAGAACAGAGAAGGCCCAAATAACATCAAACCGAATCGAATATCCTTTTGGATGTGAAAGAGAACATGCTTAATGACTTCATTGTTGAAGAGGAGGTCCATCCTGACTTCATTTGAAGGTAAAGCCTGCTTTTTCTTCTTTTTTCGGCTTGAGCTTGTAATATACAATGCCACAGTACCAAAGGGGTAAAGCATTCTATATGCAAAGTGATTATTTTGTTGCAATGTGACTTAATTTATACTCCAAGCTCATTATAACTGTAGAAAAGATATCGTTAATTTTCAGACTTAGGCTATCACTTAGGTCTAGTGAAGATAACAACAGCTACAAGGGTCATGATCACCAGTATTGCTTTACTTAAGGGTTGAGATACCAAATTACCCTGTAAAATATAAAATGAAATATACCGTCACACATTATTTTCTGTGATACTCTTCATAAGATTTGTTCACAGAATTACAGGTCTCATATATATCTCCCTATGGTTTATGTTTTCTATTGATAACATCTGCTAGGTCTGAAAATAATACTTATAATAGAATACTCAAATAATGTAATATCAAACTTTTTGAGGAAGAAAATAAGAAAAAGAAAAGAAAATCTCTCATATGGGCTGAAATTCCAATTTGCTATTCCTCAGCATGCTGTCACTCGTTACTTGTAGCGAGCTTTTGGCAATTAGCTTCGAGGAAAGCCCAACTTGATCAGAGTCACGGCGAAAAGTATCTACAGATCAGCATTTGTAATAATTATCTAATGGATTAATGTTTTGGATCAGCATTTGTGTAGCTATGGATCACACATATATATATATATCCAAGTCCTTAACACGTTTACATCTTGCATGTTTATTCCAGTTTCAAGTGGTAAAAGATAAAGCCACCTAAAATATAAAACCATCATTGTGATAGTAGAGGTAACATGTGACTGTTTTATATTAACTTTTCTATTACATATTTAGTCTTGTGAAGTTACTGTACAAAACAATAGTGTCAAGGGAGATGTGCGAGTTGAAATTATACTTGAAAAGAAATAGACTTGCACAAACCTAATGAAAGATACATTTTAGAAATGCATCATAATCAAGTATACACTAAATAAAAAGAACAGAATTCTCAATAAAATGAAAAATTTGTACCTTTGAGATGAGACAAGCACTCCTTACTTGAATTAGCTAAGAATCCATCAAAATCACCAAACCCTAATGCATTCATAAGAAATCATCAAAAAATTAGAACTATTCGGTTAAAAATATTGTGAAGAATAACATTGAGATGAAGAAAAGTAGTCCGACCTGAAAACTAGAAACTACTCCTTAAGAATAAAGAGAATAAAATCAGCACTAATAAACACATTAAACACGAAACTCGCAAACTTTTTTGCCATGTTACGAAACAATGAAATATATAATGTGATTATAGCATTTAACATGTGGAAGGCGCCATTATAAAGAAGGTGTAAATTGTGTTCTGACATTTCATTACAGTGCAGCTCTAGATCAGGTATCAGGGTGTCACAGCAGGATCATTACAAAAGAAAATTAGAACTCGAGTTGAATAAGTATTAATCAGATGTCTACAAGAGAAATCAACAAGAAAGCACACAATATAGTTTCCCCAGCTGCTTAAAGATAACGAAGACGAAAAAGGTGAAAAAATGCATGTATTTGGCTTCCCTTAGCTTTCATCAGGCCTGTGAAGATTGGAAGCAGAATGGCACAACGAGCAATTAAGTGATGATATAACAGCTTACGGATTTCGCAAACTTTTGAGCGAGGTTATATATTGTGGAGATTTCGATAGTCGTTTCTGAGCTAGTTATGTTTGCAGCTCCTTGGATAGCTGAGAGCGTATCTTAATCTAGGATTGTAGCAGGTAAGGATAAGAGTCTTAGCCTGTTCTCTTCAGTGCTTTCACTAGTAGTTTGTCCAGTATTGTCCCGAGACAAAAGCATACAAATGAGCTTTTGTATTGTCCTGAGACAAAAGAGATTTGTCCGAGCAGCGTTTATCTCCGTTGCAGCACGAGGACTCCTTAAACATGATGTAGATGAAAAAAGTTTAAACCCTGTCTGAACTTGAAGTCTCTGAATTTAAATTGAACAAAGAGAGACATAAATCCATAGTAAAACACCAGAGGGGACATTTATACTAGTTTGTGAGTACTACTTAAACGAGACACAATGGATGGCGAACTGGACATGTACTCTTCATTGGATGCCATTGTCTACTAATATATTATTGATTTCCAAACTGGATGACAAAGAATATGAACTCTGGCTGAAAAAGGATACAAACAGGATGCAAATTTTTCAGCTTCTTGTTTGAATCATAGAATCATATGGGAAAACTAAAAAAATGTGTATTTTCTATTTCTAATGCCGAACAATTCCTTACATTTCTAAATGTCCTGTAAAAAGGTAATACCTCATAAAGATGCAAGAGAGAATGATATATATATTTTTAAAAGAAAAAACGACATGATACTTCTCCATTCAAATTTGAGACTGACTTTTAATTATAGATACTTCTTCATAAAGGTGATATTTCCTTTATCATTTAATTATAGTATTATAGATAGGTGAAAAGTCCCACCAACCAATCTCTAACTAATACCCTATAAATCACCAAAGTAACCCAAGTGAAACTAAATATCTACAACAAGAAAATAATCACAAATTAAAGAATCAGATGAAAGAATCACAGTTGTAACTTTGAAAGTATATTACCATAATCACAAGCCGAGAAGATCGAAAAAAGCACTTACATATTACACCGATGTTGAAGAAGAAAAGACGAAAATTCCTCTTTGTTATCGGGTCAGGATTTGATAAATGACAAACGTTGGGTTGGAATTTGAAATCACGGGTTTTGGGCTTTCAAATTCCTATTTGTTAAATCAATTAATTTAAAATCTAAGTTCAAATTAGAATCCAAATTAGTTATTTGGATTTGAAATATCCTGGATTTTAAATGCAGGTCAGGATTTGATAAATGACAAACGTTGGGTTGGAATTTGAAATCACGGGTTTTGGGCTTTCAAATTCCTATTTGTTAAATCAATTAATTTAAAATCTAAGTTCAAATTAGAATCCAAATTAGTTATTTGGATTTGAAATATCCTGGATTTTAAATGCAGGCTCAAATCCAAGTTCCCAAAAACACCCTTAAAAAATTCAGTCATTTCCCATTGCAACAAAGCAACTAACAATATAAAAGCTAAGGGGGTGTTTGGTTCAATTTCTAGAAATTATAGGAAATATTTTCCACCTAAAATATGATTTTCTTGTATTTCTTAAAAAAATTATATGAAAAGTTTTGAGAAATCAAAAAGTACTAATTTTCTTGTTTTTTGTACTTTTCTTGTTTGGTTCAAAACAAGAAAATAGCTCATAACTTTATAGAAAATAACAAGTTTTGGTAGGTTTTTAATTAAATATGGTATGTGTCAGATTTCTGGTGATTTCCTCTCATTTTGAGAGGAAGTGTCAGATTTCTGGTGATTTCCTCTCATTTTGAGAGGAAATTGCTTTTTGTAAAATTTGGTAGGTTTTGATATTTTATAGAAAATATTTCTGTAAATTTTTTGTTGAACCAAACATAATTTACAGAAATCTCTGGAAAACTTTTAATTACAAATTTGTCATTGTCAGATGTTTTGAGAAAAGTTTTCTCAAAAAGTGTGCAACCAAACAGCCCCTAAGTCCAAAAGGAACAGGCTAGAAGGTAAAGCTCATATCACTTCAAAAAAACTAAAACCCTAGAAACTAAATTAAAATATGGAAAACTGTATATTAAAAAAAAGCAAAATTTTTAATTAGAAAAATAACCCTAAAATTGCCTTCTCCTTAGTTGGAATTCGACAAGCTGATAATTGAAGACTGAGGCGAGGTGGAGATCAAAGATAGGTGGCGCTCAAAGGAGAGGAGATCAGATGTGGAGCTTGAGATCGAGGGGAGGAGATTGAAAGTGGAGGAGATCACTCAGAGGTGACGGAAATCATGATTTTTGAGAGGCTGAGCAATTGTGATCAGGAATTTCAAGAGGCGGAAGAGAACCTGATATTGCTAATGGCAAGGTGAACCTATTTTGGGTTTTAGGGCTTCAGAACCAAGTCCAAGTCCTATGCAATACCAAACATGATCCAAAGTCCTAAACCAATATATTTCCTCTATCATTTAAGTCTCCCTCAAAATATTATGTTTTCCGATTTTAAAAAGGGAGATTCACAGATAACCCACATAAATCAGAGAATAAGAAGACCCATCTAATGTACACAAAGAGACTAATTATATAACTTGAAATTCATATATTTGTTAATCTGTGTACAAAGAATTCTTTTGTTTTATTATTTAGTAGAACTATTTCAGATCATAGTTTCTGAAAACTAGAGAATTGTGTGTTTCCTTCAATTATGATGCTCGACAGAAGGTCCAAGAAATTGCGAAATCCAAAATTTGAATTTCCAAAAAAAAAGATAACGTCACTCCATTGTTTCACGAAGAAGGAACAATCTTCCTCTTCTTCCGCTAAAAAAGATGAATAAGGTGACATCGATATTTAGAATAAACTCAATTACTTATATTCAATGCTACAGAAAGCACTAGGTGGACTAGCCGTTTGAACCGGCGTCTAGGCATTTGTCTATTTTTCTAAATTATTTAATTATAATAATTGACAAAAACACATTCTATTTTATCTTTTATATCTTAATTCTTACCCCTTGCTTCCTAGCATACCAGACTCCTATGCACAAAATGCATATGAAAACAAATATAACAAATTAGTGGGTATTGAATAATGGAAAGTAGCTTATAAATACAAGAACATGATCATAACAATTTAGTATGAATTTCTCCAAACTTTAATATGAACGGAAAGAAGCAAAATTTTGTTCTCTTCTTCCCCATCATGGCTCAACAACATTCTTACAACATTTAGTATGAATTTCTCGAAAGATTAACTAAATATAGTGGAAAATTAACCAAAAAAAACAAAGCAAAACAGTGAGATAAACAGCGAAAAATTTGAAATTTTTACCTTGAAGAAGATGACTTGAAAAAAAGAGGATGAGGTGGTGGCCGGAGTGGAGTGGTTGAGGAGGACTGCAGTGGCTCGAGACAAGGGGACACGACCAAGAGTCGGAGGAGGAGGAGGCGGTGGTGGCGGCGAATGGGGAGAGACGGCGGCGAATGGG